AATGTAATTAGGATAAAAGACATTATTAAACGTGGGTACTCAGATTTTTTTTTTCTTTTAGAAATTGATCATCAATAAAATGGATATATATTTTGTACTACTAATAGTATGATTACCAAAATATATTTAAAAAATATTTAAACATATTATATAAGATAAATAATATATATATAATACCAATATATAGGATAGAACATACTATTAGTTCAAATAGAGTCCTTTTGGTTCAAATAGGAGAGGAGAGAGAGGAGTTAAAAATTTTGTTTAATTAAGAGGAGGGAAGAGAGAATAATAACTCTTTTGTTTATTTCACAATGGGATGAAAGAGATTTTAAAAATTTATTTATTTTTATATCCGTATAATTTTAGAATTATAATATCATAAATAAAGATATTTTAGATATTATACTACTAAAAATCTTTTAGGATCCCTCCCTTCCCCTTCAAATTTTCTCAATATTGGAGGAGACTAAAATTAAGTTGGGAGGAAGTTTGCTCTCTCCTTATTCTCCTTTCTTAAAAATTGAACTAAATTTTTAAAAATTCTTCTCCTCTTCTCCACTCTCTTCTAACTAAACATTATGTTAAGAAAGATTTGTACTTAAATTTTATGTATATAAAAAAATATATAATTAAAAAGAAGATTCAATAAAATTAACCAATTAAATTTTTTAGTTAATATTAGTCATCATTAATAAATTAATGAATATTCCATTCTAATAATATAATTATCTAAAAATATAATGTAATCCAATAGGTAAAAATAGTACTAAAATATTCATCTATTGATTGAAAGTACAATACTATATACATGAAATATTAAGTTTTACCATCAATAGTCTCTCTCTATATATATTAGTGAATAAATCGACTAACACATAATTATTTCAAAGAATATTTGTGATTTATAAAAAAATTATATAAGTCATATAATTAAAAGACATATTTTCTCTTATTTTCATATTAAATGAATGAAGCTAGCATGTAATTATTACTTTTATAGGAATGGAAATAACAAGGTCCTTTTCTTCTTTTTGTTGTTTTCTCTTTTTGTCAGTCTGTGCTGCCCCGTTTATAATGCAACTTAAGTGGACGGAAGAATAAATAGTGAATTGGAATAGCAGGAAAGCTTAGCAATTAAGGTTTGCTCACATATTCTCCATTTTATTTGCTTCACAATTTTCACAAAGACAACTTCTATTTATCACGTTACTTTTTTCTTTTCACAAACAACAAAGATAAGATAAATTAAACCAAGAAACCAAAATACAAATATTATGTAAAATATATTTTTTTTTATAAATAAATGAGAAAGAATATTTCAAAATGATCATGACAATTATATAATTGTTAAAAATAATTTTATATATGGATTGATACTTTAATACCATATTTTATATATCAACTTTTGCTTGTGCCAAATTTGTCTTCACATATTATTTTCCTTTAATTTTGGTACTCATGTTTTCTAATTCTTATCAATTCAACTAGAAGCATTGACCTTGTTTATGTAGAGTTCGTAGTAGCATTATAAACGATAATCATTTGTGTAATTTTTTCAGTTTTGTCTGCTCTGGTCATGGTTAGGTTAACTACATTATACCAACTAATTTGCAGTTCACATTTAAGAAATTATCATCTAAATTAAATTTCTCCTCAACCTTATGTAAACACCCATTTATCTCTCTCTCTGAATTCATGCAATGTGATTCATGTGAATTATATGACTCATCTAAAGTGATGAATGTATTTTATGTGATAAAATGTAGTTATAATAACTATTAATTAATAAAAAAAACTAATGGTCAAAATCATGACAAAAATATAAACATATACTACAAATTATAAAGTTATTATAAAATATTAAACTTTTAATTTTCTAATTAACAATTACAAATATATGTTATATTTTAGGTGTTTTTCTTTCACTTTAGAAATTAAAACTAAAACGTACACACAATTATTTTGTTTTTATTACTGTACATATTTAATACTGTGTATTAAACACAATTATGTGACAAAGTTCAATATATTATAATTCATAGTTTTTTATTCTCTTGAAGTTTGTTATTTAACAAAAAGTAATTATTTGATAAAAAAAACAAAAGTAATTATCCATTTTCTGTAAAAAAATTATATAATCTTCCTAAAATAAAAAATTTATGGAATTGAGAGACAAATGGCATCAAACGATAAACTGTTTACCACCCCTTGTAATTCAAGAAAATGATTCTCATGGATCGGATATAGATGATATGTAGAATATATAATAAATGGCAGTTTATAATTCTCATGGATCGGATATAGATGATATGTAGAATATATAATAAGAGAAATTTTATGGTACCCATCTTATTTGAAAGGGTACCGATACAGTTTTTTATATTTTATTTTTAATAACTTATTTAAATAATATTTATAATATTTTATTCTTTTAATTTTTAAATTATTTAGGATTTAGAGTTTAGGGTTTATAAATGACAGTTTATAAAATGTCTCAATATATCCGTTAATTAAACTAAAATGATGTAATGCTTATGTAAGATAATTATATAATCAATTGCATAAGAATAACAATTCTCATTTTCAATATAAACATACATTTCATTTACACGTTCTCAATGGGACATTAAAGATTCTTACGTTATTCACAACAAATCAACAATTGACTTTTTTTTTTTTTGTTGGTAGCATCTATGGAACTCGAAAATGTGTATTATATTTTATATAGAGGAGATTAAACTCATTCTGTTACATTTTTAATTAAAAATTATTTATCACATTTCAATGTAAAACTTTTTATAATATCATTTGATTATGCATTATATTTAATTAATCTCTTTCAATAGCTTTTAGCATATATAGTATAATTTTTTTTAATAACATGTTTTTGCATACACTCTGTTATATTTTACACAAGCTTTGAGAAAAAATGAAGAAAAATAATACTTAATGTTATCTTTTATCTTTGATAAAACATTACATGTATTTTTTATATTTTAAAGTTATAAACACAAAAATAATTTAAAAAATTACATTAGAAATTTTATATGCAAAATTTCAAGCTTAAGCTTACTTTTAAATAATTTAAATAAAATATATCATTTAAAAAAAATCACTTAACAAATTTGAACATAAAATTTATTTTACATAATCAATTATATCCATAATCAATTGCATACATAATTAATCATTAAAATAATCCATTTTTTATATTGTTAATCAAAATCAAGATAAAATAATTTACAATTGTTATCACTATATGTGGGATTTAATTAACTAGTCGAAATCCACCTAGAAAAATAACAGGAGCATCAAAAATTCAATAAAAAATACCCGTATGAAGAGGACCACCACACAACCAAACGTTTAAGTGGGGATTAATCTTGTATCATGGATAAGGAACATTTCAATAAAATAAAATAAATAAATAAAAGGAAGAAAGACATGTTAATAAAAACAAAAATTAAAATATATTATTGACCAAAAAGGGTAGAAAGACAGTTTAAAAATATTGACTCAAAAATAAAAAAAAGAAATGTATTTTCTTTACAAATAATATAGCACTTAATATTATTATTATTACATGTCATCATAAATTTTTATTGATTAATTAATAATTATTTTTGATGAATAGAGAAAATTGGATGGGAAAAAAAAATGTTACACGTGTCGAGCTACCAAGTTTGGCATCCAGCTGGTGGGTTCTTTTTGTACTCTTGAACAAGAAAGCCCACCATTTTACCGTACAACCACTCACACAATATCCCTTCCCGTCTTTCACTCTCCGAACCCAAGTACTCGCGGAACTTTGACTAGGGAATATCGCAGGAAATTCCAGGAACGCCGTTATTTTTCGTCACCGGTAATAGCAAGTAACCAACCACTTAAGTAAGTGCCTGCCGGTATTTTGTGGGACATCCCCCTCCGCACTCCAAGCGCGCAGGTCATGGGTTTACTTAAGCACCGTGTTTACCGGATGTTGCCGGTTAATTATTTAATTAACTACTATAAACATTTTTAATCAAACGCCTTGTCCAAATCGTTTCGCCGTTTTTCTTGTACGAATTTCGCACGCAAAAGGGAGTTTTTGAATTGAAATTTTCTAAATGTAAAATATGTACATATGGGTATTTTTTTTTCTTTTCCTTTTGGTGGGAAAATTGGAAAAGGTTGATATTTTGACACACTGGTTCGTGGGATTTTGGTGAAAGAAATAATGAATTTTGGTTGGCCAATCCAATACGAGACAAAGGGATAATGGGATATAGGTTTGTCTTTATTCTACATTATTTGATCTTATGCCCCTCTTTAAGATATGGACTACCAATCTACTACTAATTAAGCACTTTGACAACAACCGCAAAGCATTTCAAAGTGACTCCATAAGCCTTCCTTTTATGCACATGGATTCCATTCAATCTATCTTTAAAAAGTGGTGATGTTAATATTCATTCATTCACGTTCAAATAATATGCCAAGTCATTTCCAATTGAAATTGTGTTTTTATGCCTTCTTCTCGCTTCACTTTATTATTTTATTTTTCTCCCCCACAAAGCAATTTCTTTTTCTTCTAATTAACAAACCAAATCAAAGTCTTTCACTCTTGTCAACAAGTTGTTACTAGCTTGGTATTATATTTGACCACTTTAAGTATTAAAAGAAAAACTTTATTAAAAATGATTTAATTAGTTAATTTTTAATAAAATTGATAGATATTTTATAATAATTTTAAAAAAAAGTCTACCTCCACTCCTTGCCATCGTGGATGGAGAAGCTCACTTAACATGACCATAAATGCATGGAAGTTGTATAGTGTATGCTTTGGCATGATATAAATGTTTAGATATAGAAAAAAAAAAAAAAAAAACAAAAAGTGACACAAAACGGCCACACATTCCCCATCCCACCCTTGATTGTTACAATTATTTACTCTCATGTCCCTAGTCTCGAGCAAACCCAGCTTGACATGTGCTCTATATATACCTCTTTCTCTCATCTTTTCAACTCACGCCCAACACCATCTCCTAGTTCCTTCCTAACCAGATTCTATCACTATTAGAGTCAGTGTCTTGTTCTCTCTCTCTTTCTCTCTCTCTTACACCAAATTCCTGTTGTTCTCCTTCCCAAAACACACACACACACATACCAAAAAGGTTGCTAGCTAGCTAGCTATAAACACCATCACCATGCCTGAGGCTCCGAGAGACTACAACCTTTTCGAGCAAAACAAGAAAACTCTCGAGTTCATTGAGGATGTCACTGCCAACGCTGACCTTGTCCAGAAGAGGGTCCTCTCCGAAATCCTCTCCAACAATGCAAATGTTGAGTACTTGAGGAGACACGGTCTCAACGGCCAAACCGACCGTGAAACCTTCAAGAAACTCTTGCCTGTCATAACCTACGAGGATATCCAACCTGACATCAACCGCATCGCCAATGGTGACACCTCTCCCATCCTTTGCTCCAAACCCATTTCAGAATTCCTCACTAGGTATGTTTATATGCACACACCAAAACCTCCTCCTCTTTTCGCCTACTTCCAACTTCCTCTTCCATATGAAACACAACCATGATAATAATAAGATTTGAATCTAACAACTCATCATGATCCAATATGGGTTGGCCTAGTGCTTCTAACCTTTTTTGCATTTAGCATAATATAACAAGAATTGAACTTAAGAATTTGACGATCAACCTGACCCGTAAAACTGGCCAATGAGCCAGGTTGGCCTGGTTTAAAACTTAAGGACTCAAGGCCAACCTGGTTTATGGCCTCAGAAATGGACCAGGTTGACCCGATTCTAAACTTAAGGACTCAAGGCCAACCTGGTTCATGGTTTTGAAAATGGACAAGTTAACCGAGTTTTAACTTGAAGTTAAAGAGAAATCAAAAGAAAAGAAAAGATCATGTTTTTTAATCTGGGTTTATCTTAACATGTGGTTTTGGGTGTCTTTGTGATGATGGGGTTGTTGTTTGTGTTATCTTATGATGTGTTGCAGTTCTGGGACATCGGGAGGGGAGAGGAAGCTGATGCCAACAATTGAAGAGGAGCTAGGGAGGAGGAGTTTACTCTATAGCCTGTTGATGCCAGTGATGAGCCAGTTTGTTCCTGGATTAGAGAAGGGCAAAGGAATGTACCTAATGTTCATAAAATCTGAGGCCAAAACACCTGGAGGAATCGTGGCTCGTCCAGTTCTGACGAGCTACTACAAAAGCTCCTACTTCAGAGACAGACCCTATGACCCCTACACCAACTACACCAGCCCAAATGAGACCGTCCTCTGCCCTGACTCCTACCAAAGCATGTACTCCCAACTCCTTTGTGGCCTTTGCCAAAACAAGGAGGTTTTCCGCGTAGGCGCAGTTTTCGCCTCTGGCTTCATAAGGGCCATTAGGTTCCTCGAGAAGCACTGGTCCCTCCTTTGCAACGACATCAGAACCGGAACCATCAACAGCGTCATCACTGACACCACGGTTCGTGAGGCTGTCATGAAGATCCTCAAGCCTGACCCTAGGCTCGCGGATCTCATCCAAAGTGAGTGTAGCAAGAGCTCATGGCAGGGCATAATCACGAGGCTGTGGCCCAATACTAAGTATGTGGATGTTATTGTGACTGGGACAATGTCACAGTACATCCCCACATTGGACTACTATAGCAATGGACTGCCACTTGTGTGCACCATGTATGCATCCAGTGAGTGCTACTTTGGTGTCAACCTCAACCCTCTTTGCAAGCCCAGTGAGGTCTCTTACACCCTCATTCCCACCATGTGCTACTTCGAGTTCTTGCCTGTTAATCGCGCCAATGGGGTGTCCCATGACCCTCTCCACACCCCCAGATCCCTCAATGAGAAAGAACAACAAGAGCTCGTTGAGCTTGTTGATGTCAAACTTGGCCAAGAATATGAACTCGTTGTCACCACCTATGCTGGTAAGTAAGAACAAATATCAAACAACCACCCTTTGGTTAGTCTCACTTTTATCTTAGCATCAAGGTTTTAAATTGCGGTCACGGTACATTATCCAAGGTTTTAAATCGCGGAATTGAGGTCATAGAGATCTCGAAAACACCTTGTTTTATCTTATATCTTATTCTTAGCACAAAATTTGGAGCATGGGTTTGGTATGACAATTGACAGTCTTTTCTTTTTCAGGTTTGTATCGTTACAGAGTTGGTGATGTGCTGAGGGTGGCTGGATTCAAGAACAAGGCACCCCAATTCAACTTTGTGTGCAGAAAGAACGTGGTGTTGAGCATAGACTCGGACAAGACCGATGAGGTGGAGCTTCAGAACGCAATGAAGAATGCAGTGACACACTTGGTACCCTTTGATGCATCAGTGTCCGAGTACACAAGCTATGCAGACACCACAACAATCCCAGGGCACTATGTGTTATACTGGGAACTCGCCCTGAACGGTTCAACCCCAATTCCTCCCTGTGTGTTTGAGGATTGTTGCTTAACCGTGGAGGAATCACTGAACAGTGTGTATCGCCAAGGGCGCGTCTCAGACAAATCAATTGGGCCCCTTGAGATAAAGATTGTGGAACAGGGGACTTTTGACAAGCTCATGGACTATGCCATAAGCCTAGGGGCTTCAATAAATCAGTACAAGACTCCTAGGTGTGTCAAGTTTGCACCTGTGGTGGAGCTCTTGAACTCAAGGGTGGTGGAGAAATATTTTAGTCCAAAATGTCCAAAATGGGTTCCGGGCCACAAGCAGTGGATCAATCAGAATTGATCTAGAATCTAAAGGTGGACATTATTATGTGGTTGGTAGCTTTTCATGGCGGTTCACGTGAACTGTTTTTTGTGGACATGTTAGGAGGGGAGGGAGGGATTTTAATTACTCTTTTTTAGGTTAATTCTATGTTTAAAAAGACTTTGATTTTAGTCCTTGTTTTTAACTTGCATAGTGAACTGAACCTAGCCACTGTAAAAAGCAATTCCTGTTTGAAAGAAAGAAAGTTGTTGTTGTCTAATGCCTTTCTCTTGTCTTTTGTTTTTTTATTAATTTTCTCAACTTTATTATAGACCTTATGATCATAATTCACTAGAATTAGGGTGAAGGATTTGAATAATTTGCATGAAGTTTTGTGTTAAATCTCAGGTACGAACACAAAAAAAGACCCTATAATCATCATAATGTTCGGTTGGAATTGGTTTCTTAGTTGCAGCCTGCAATCATGCATGTTCACTTATGTGTGATGGGGCTTATTTCGTATAACGGCAAACAAGAAAGAAAGACATCACTTCTGAACTCCTTTCTTTTTCTATAGTTTTCAGGAAAAAGCATGCCAACTTTTTCTCCTCCCCAATGCCACTATTTATGTCCAACTAACGAATCATAGTGAAATTAATTAAATACAAAAAAGGGGTAAAGGAAAAAATGTTATCCTGTTTGGGTAAGTGGGCAGGGCTATTCTATTCTGCAAATAAGCTTTGCAATTGCAATTTGATTAAGACTAGTCTGATGAGAATTTTGTCCATAAATTTGAAATTAGTGGAAGGGGATAAATTAAAATAAACCTAGCTTTCAAAAAATGTTGATAAGCTCCTCTCAGCGTGTGAGGCCTCGTGATGGCAAGTAATGAGTCCAAATTCTCTTTCTGCGAGTCTATTTTAACAAATAGTTGTTTGTGTCAGATTCTGTCACTAAGTCAAGGAACTAAAAACCATGTGTGGGTATTAAATCAACAGGGAGGGCTTCTGTTCAAGGCTCAAACATTTTATGCTTTCTTCAGCAACAATTCCAAAAGCAAACAAAACGAAACAACTGTGTGCTAGTGAAGAAATTCCTAGTGACTATTGCTGGCAGTGGCACCACATAACACTAAGATCCGCCTATGCAAGCTTGTCCACAATTGATTCAAACCCTTGTGCCCCTATCTTCAAAATCCTTTCGAAATGGCAAGGACCAGAGAGGATCAGGCTCTTTCTCTGGCGCGTGGCTCACGAAAGTCTCATGACGAATGAAGCTCGCTTTGACAGAGAGTTAACGACTAGCCCAATTTGCCCAGTCTGCATGCGGGACGTGGAAAACACCATGCATGTTCTAAGAGAGTGCCTTTTTGCTCGCCAAGTATGGAGTTCGATACCCAGGGGAAGCTACATCAGTCAACCCATGGGAAGTAACCTCCAAGAGTGGCTAACCTTCCACCTAACCAGGAATCGTACAGAGCTGATGATCTGGCCCCTAACCTTTGCAATCACAATTGATGCATTATGGAGTAGAAGAAACGAGTTTGTGTTTCAGCAGTCATCCTTATCGGCAAGCCAACTAGTACTCAAGGTAATGAACTCTACGAAGTCTATAATCAACAGTAATAATCTATTTGATGCAGGAGACCAGTCAGAGGGCACACTTATCACAAGGAACTGGGTTTGCCCTCCTTCGGGACTTATCAAGTTAAATGGCGATGGGGCTGTGTCATATTCGGGGACAAGCTCATGTGGAGGCTTAATTCGAGACCCAGACGGAAGGTGCATCTTGGCTTTCTCAAGACAGCTAGACCGTTGCTCTGTCATTAAAGCTGAGCTGTGGGCCATCACCCAAGGGCTTCGATTAATTCACCTTAAAAAATTGGGTACGCACATTTTAATAGAATCCGATTCACTAGAAGCAATCACTCTGCTAAGGAATGGCTGCCCCCGGCAGAATGAATGTTTTGATCTAGTTCAAGAGATATCAGAGTTAGCAGCTTCCTGTGAGACAGTTTCGTACCTGCATATTGGTAGGGAGGCCAATTTAGTAGCAGATCTTCTAGCTAAACAATGTAATATAGGTGAGGAGAATCTAATTATTTACAATTCTCCTCCTAGTTTCATCATTCGTGCCTTAGCCGCCGATTTGACGGCCGGATTCTGAGTTTGTTTT